GGGTGGCCGGCACCCTGTGTGCTGGGAGTGCAGAGGGGCACCAGCGACTGGACGCTGCAACGTCTCCAGACCTTTCTGAACTTGGAAATCTCCCCTGCCAACCTCCGCGCCTGGTTTTTAAATAGAGGGTCACATTTCCACGAATTCTCAATGTTTTGTGGTTATGCTGCATTTGTAGCTATGACCCAGGGTGCAGCCAGCTGAAAACAGGGCAGTTGGCCAGCTTCTAATTTCCTCGGTCCCTTCCCGTGTGTAGTAGTTGTCAGAGCAGAGCGTGGTTCTACGGTCTCTGCCCGTAGGCGGTGGGGATGCAGGTTGCACTGCACGGGGATGGTGAAGGGCTCACAGTCCTGTAGAGCGGCCGTCTATCCGGTGACTTGGGAAGGACTAGTGGGGGCAGCACCGGTTAGTCTCCAGGTGCACGGGGTCCGGTGCAGTCCCTCCAGTGTCTCCCTGTGAGCGGGGGGCTCTAATGAGGGGGGAGAGGCCTGGGGAGGGACTGGGGGCTTTTCCATCCCCTCAGAAGCCACCATGGGCTGTTTGGGGCCAATTTCCCTCAAGGCGCGGGCAGCGTCCCCGGAGGCGGCCCCTCTTCTGGCTCTCCTTTTGGACGACGTGGACTTCCTCGTGTTTTACCTGTGGCTCTCTTCAGGGCGTGTGGTCTCTCTGTTGCTCCATAATTCCTGTTTTTCGTCTGTCCGTCCGTCTCATTTCCTCTTACTGCACTCTCTGGGCCCACCTGCTGTGCCCTCCTGGTCTCCTTCCCTCTGCGATCCTCGATCCTCTCATCTCATCCGCTCCCACTCTGTGCCTGCATGAGGTCTGGTCACCTCCCAGCTCCCCCGACTCTTGACTCAGGCTCTTTTTTCTCATCTGTCCCCTTGATGAGCCAGACCTAATCCCTTACGCTTCGCGTCCACTCTGTAGCACCTGCTGGGCTCCAGATGCCCTCTGGCCAGGGGTTTCTCTCTCTCTCCCCCCCTCATCCCCCTGCCACAAGATCTCCATTTGGAGCCTGACCACAGACCTTTCAGGAGTTCTCTTAGAGCGTGGGTTTTCATTGTAGCCGTGGGAGCGGACCAGACGCTTTCTCGCTCCAGAACTCCGGGTTCTCAGTCCTGTTGTGGCCACAGCTTGTCACAGCACGCTGCCGCCCCCCCTGCGTGCCGTAGCAGCCCTCCCCGCATCACCTCTCCCTCTTTCTCCTTCTCTCCTGTAAGCGCCACACCCCTGTTTCGCTCACCTTGAACATTTGCTCCCGGGGTTTCTTCTCAGCACAGGCTCTTCCTGCGGCCTCCCCCGCCCCTTGCCCCATGTGCCCTGGCAGGCCCCCCGCCAACACGGCTTCCGGGCCTCCATTCAGGGGCCCCCTCTGGGCATTTCTGAGCTCCCTGTGTCGCTGGTGCTGGGTGGGTCTTGGTGCCGTCGTGGGGTGGCCTTGTCACCTGGTTTCGTGGAAGCCGATGTCTTCTTTCCCCCTTTACCCCTTTTGTTTTGCTTTGCTGTTTTAAGACTGTAAAATACTCAATTTGCAGATCATTGAAGCAAACCTAAATGGAGAATTGAACTTGAAAATAGAAACGGAGCTAGTGTGCGTTACAACCCACTTTAAGGATCTCGGGAACCCTCCGTCAGGTGAGTTTTCTGGCGGGTTGTGTTTTGCCTTTAATACGTTGTTTCAGGTGCACAGTTGCTGAGATCTCTGCCTGGAAAACAGGTGGAATTCGGCTGCCCGAGTTTCACGCTCGGGGAGAAAATAGACAGCCGAGGCCAGAGCAGGGAAGGTCGGCCTCCCGGGCCCGAGAGCGGTGCCTGCCCCGTGGTCCCCAGGAGCCCTGGCGGCTCTTCAGTGCCCGTCTGCCCGCTTCTCACCTGGGGCGGCATCACAAGGTGGAGAAGGTCTCCTCCCTCCTGTGTACGTCCCAAGTGTTTATGAAATCAGATTAACAGATAGACGCCTTCCTCACCTGACAGATTTTTCCTCCCTACACGGCAACAGAGACCGTGGGACCAGTTCAGTAGCAGGGGACAATGGGGTCACTGACCAGGTGATCTGTGCTGGCAGGGCTCAAGGCCTGGATGACACACTCAGCGGGTGGTGCCGCGGGCGCGAGGCAGGGTCCCGGGGACGTCTGCCGGTCGCGTGAAACCGGCTCAGCCCTGCGCAGCCTCCCTCCTGAACACAGGACGGGCCACCACTTTTATAGTCCGGATCTATCACCACAAGTTGGCTTGTCGATGACCTGTCATGGCGTAGCGTAGCGAGGGGTTTTCACTTGGTGGTGAAGGGCATACGTTCCTGCCAAGGGAAATCTGTGTGATGCAGGCTTTGCTAATCGTTGTGCAGGGGGACTGAGCTTGGTGACACTCGCTTTCTTTAGTTTGATAAATTGCACAGAGGGTCTGGTCTTTGGTGTTTGCCGGAGTTGCAAGGACCTTTTCTCTCGTTTCATTCCACTTTAGAACAGGCAGTCTCGTATTAGCGCCTGACAGTCCCCCTCCTCCGTGTATGTCAGGGGACTGACACGTGCGTTTTCTTCCACTGCAGTGGGGACAGCAGGTCAGATTTCATGTCACTGTAAGTGAAGATTCTCTGGAAATCTGCCACGTAGTTTAAAGAGAAGGACTTGATAAATGCTTGCTTAGCGTCTGGCAGCGTCTCCAGGCTCCAAGAGCCGGCAGTCACGTGGATCATCAATCTAAACAGGCAGCTTGCCGCCCCCGGGCTCCCCCGACCCCCGAGCTGTGCGTGTCGTTTCAGCCTCTGAAGACGCGTCTCAGGATAGAAACCCGGAGCAGATGGCCGAGGTGCGCATCGATATCCGGAGGCTCCTGCAGTTCCTCGCCGGACAGCAAGTGAACCCGACAAAGGCTGTGTGCAGTGAGTGCACATTCGGGTTGCCTGCAGGTGGGGGGGGGGGGGGGGGGGGGGGGCAGGGGGGCGGGTCTCGCATCTGCGCACTCTCCTAAGTGCAGAACAGCTCGGTCTCGTGGGCCCGTTTCCCAGGGCAGTTTTCCCAGATTCAGCAGCACCTGGAGATTCTGATCCGGGGCCCTGCAGCCACACTGGCTCGGCTGCCTCGCCCGGCTACCATGCGTGGGTCTGCGCCTAAGGAGAAGCTTCTGGAGGACGGCTGTTGATTGTCCAGGCTGCTCTGTTAATCTGGCCCGACAGCCATAGCCCCTGACCCCTCTGGACTTAGACTTAAGGTCCCCTCGTATGCCTTTATTTCCCCTCTGTGTCTAAACCTGAGCGGTTCCTCCTCGACTCCCG